GATGGGTGGGCGCTGGCCACGCGAAGCTGACGGTCCCTCAGAGCATCCTGGAACGTCCGCTGTAAGCAAGTGATCGAGTGCTGTGTCTTGTCACAAGAGGGGAGAGGGTGCTAAGGGGACAAAACTTGGGGCCGGAGAAGCCCCACCTTTGGCCTGGGGAGGGGGGGCACCGGCTCACCTTCTCCTTGTTTGCATCTGCCTTGGGGTTTCCAGGAGAGCGGTCAGCAGTGGAAAGTGAAGCGGGAGAGACGTCAGCGCATGCTAGAAGCTGATGGGCTGGAGAGGAAGTGACACCAAGACCAGGGGAGGACTTCAGGCTTGCTTTGAGGAATTTGAGCTTTCTTCCAAGCCAGATGGGAAGTCACCGAGGGTGTAGCAGCGTTGGGGTGGGGGGGGTTGACCTGACTAGCTTGCCGATCGGTAAGCATGTGGGGACGGGGTTGCTTCTTCACGGAGGATAGATGGGAGGGGCGGGAGCAGGGGCTCACTGAGGAGACGGGGGGTTGCTGGTGGCTGCCCAGGCTGGTGTTGGAGGGGACGAAGGACGGACAGAGCCTGTTACAAAGGCCGGTAACGAGCTTCTTCCTGCTGGACGTGACCTCCAACTACTCTCTTCCCAAAGGAGACAGGGAGTAGCTATTGCTCACCTACTGTGTGCAAAACCGTGACAATGTGGGGGCTCTTAGGTGGCGCAGTAGATTGCGTGTCTGACTCTTGATTTCAGCTCAGGTCATGATCCCGGGGTCACGGGATCGAGCCCCGCGTCAGGCTTCGTGCTGAGCCTGGAGCCTGCTTAAGATTCTCTCTCTCTCTCTCTCTCTCTCTCTCTCTCTCACTCTCCCTGTCTCTCCCTTTGCCCCTGCCCCACTCGCTCTTGTATTCGAGCGCACTCTCTCTCCATCTCTTTCTCTCCCTCTCCCACTAAATAAACAAATACACACGTAATAAATAAATAAAACCGTGACAATGTAAAACGGGGTCCTTGCCTTGGAGAATTCAGACGAGAGCATACGGAGGGTGAAAAAGCAGCAAGGAATTCAAACAAGGGTTCACAGGAGCCAAGCTTCGTGAGGCTCTGTGTGATTAACTGTCAGGTCCGGGTGGGGGATGGTGTCTGCCCTTGGCTCCCAGGGAGGAGAGGCCCCTGAAGGCCAGCATCATGGTGGGGATGGGGACCAGCTTCTCACCCAGCACCCCCGCCCCAGTTGACTTCCCACTATCCCCTGTGACAGTGACTGCAGACACCCAGTGTCCACTCCCCTCCTTGCCTGACCTGGACATTAACTGTCCCCGTGTCCGGGAGGACTTCCTTCTATCCAGCCAGGACGATTTTGCTCCTCGGCCCCGAGAAGAAAGGACTAAAGATGCCTTGGCTGGGTGCTCATGAGGAGCCTGTGCTTGGAGGAGTGAGCGTGTTTCCACCTCAGTTTACCTTTTGCTCAGACACGTTGTAAAATGGGGAAGTAGACACGGGACGACCCCACTGATCCAGTGCCCTGCCTCATACGGATGGGGAAATCGAGGCCTCGCGGAAGAAAGTGCCATACTGTTCTGCGTGCACCCGCCTCGCCTGGTGGGTGTGGGTCCTTGGTATAGATTTGCCCAGTGAATGCACCTTTCCTTCTCCTATAACTCTCCCTGCCCTCACAACGTCTCCAAGTTTCGTGACAATTTGATTTAACGTGGAGGGAAGAGCCGTCGGGGGGTGGGGGAGGAAGAAGTCCTAGGCTCAGCCTAAGGGTCTGATGAGAAAATGGCGGTCTTGGTAGATGGTGAGGTCCCTGTCACGGTGGTGTGCGAGTGCGCTTATCAGGAGCCTCAGAAACCACCACAAGGCCAGGGTCTCCCCAGGACCCAGTGCCCCTCGGCACCCAGGCCTTTTCAGTTTCTTCAGAGCAGGATTCTGTTCCCACCAGGGAGGTTGGCCTTACTTTCCTCAGTCACCAGACTGCTGGCGTTCTGATATGGCGGAATGATTCACGAAGCATATCGAGGTGCGGTGGGGGCCCCTCTGGGGGCGGGAGCTGGTCAGATAGGTGCGGGGCCTGTGGGGGTGCTGCGGGCGGCCCGTGCGTGGAGGCTTCCACGGGGGCTCCCGTGTTTAGGCAGTGGACTGGCAGAGCCACTGGGTTTTCTCTTAGCTGGGAGTCTCTGTGCCTCAGGGGGCTCCCGTGTCTGCCATCGGCCCCCGCCCCCACTTCTCCGGGCTGCCCAGTGTCCCCCCATAGCTGCCTCAAGTTAGGGCCACTTCTGGGTTGTTGCCTCTCGCAGACTTAATTCCACGGGAGCCATCTTGACAGCAAAGGGCCCAGAGTGTGGACTCACGTTGCCAACTGCGGCTCAAAGGACCACCTTCAGGAGAGAAGGGGCTCTGGGGTCCATCTCTGTTTCCACAAAGCCGGGCTTTTCCTCACATGTCCGGCGTGGGGACATGGGCCGTGTGGTTTCCTCCTCTCTTCCCTCGTGTCCAAAATGAAGCCCCTTTGATGGAAACATTATGCATCTGGGCACCCGGGGCATCTCTGCAGACAGGGGGCCATGCCCAGTTAAAGCCCCACCACTCTCCGCTCCGGCTCCTCTCCGAGAGGAGTGCAGACCTGCCCGGATGCTCTGGCCTGCCCCTGCCGTGTGTGCCCTGGCGAGAGCGACCGGCTGACCTGGTTTGCCCAGGTCCGAGAGGCTCCTCGGGGTGCAAGACTTTCAGTGCTAACATCAGGGCCGTTCCGGGCAAACTGTGACTCCTGGTCTCTCTCCATGCCTGGCTGCCTCACATACCCCTGCCCGTACGAATGTGTGTACTGGGAACGCTATTCCCATCTCGGTTCCAATGACCTCAGTGTTGGGATGTCACTCTTCTCTCTGCTCAGAATTCTTGGCGCTCAAAGGGAGACTTCGGAATGGAATGACCAGGATGAAAGAACAAAGGGGGGAAATATCTGTCTTCAGGGGAATCTTAAATGTGAGAGTCATGTTTTTTTGGTTTTTTGGTGTTTTTGGTTTTTCTCCT